TGCCAACAGGACCTGCCTTCAAATCATCATTTAGTTAAAATTAGTCTACTTCTGCTCCAGTCATATTAAAAATTTTCTTTAAAACCTTAAGTCTACACACCCTACTGCAGTAATAACAGGTAGGTTTCTACAGCAAAATACCTGGTTTTGTATAACGTTGAAAGCTGTGTCTATTATTATGGAATAGTGATTTTATTTATATTAATTTGTGTATGTCTTTTTGCATCAGAGATCATGAACTCAAGGTGGTTTAGAGACTCCCTTTCTCCATGATTCACCTCATCAAATAACATTGCGTGTTATATTTTTAGGAAAAAAGTGCTTCCCATCAAAGCTAACAGCATGATCAGAAAACAAAAATCACTGGTAGTACTCATTTACTGAGCAGGGTGGCCAGTCATGACTGAAGAGCACATAAACCTTCTGGCCCTTTGGTATGAGGCAGTAACCTTTGGTAGCGGAGTGGGGGAACAGATGGGGGTAACCCCCCTTCAGTTGCTGCTGCCTAAACCCAACAGGGTTTGGAAATCCAAATTTTCAGTCGAGTGGCTGGGCCTAGTCACTGTGATTACACCCACATTAGTAGATTAAACAAGTCTGGGACCAGTCCCTGCCCCTGAGGCCAACTGGCACAGGACATCCAACATCTATTCTATTAAAGCCTCAAAAAGTCAGTGAAAGCACACAATCTGCCCTTTGGGGATGGCAGGTTGTATCCCCTAAACCGTGCCCTGGTGTATTTTGGAGAACTGCTCATTGGCCCAGGCTAAAACCAGGGAAGGATTAATGAGAATCAGTAGAAACAACTGAGCTCCAGTGCTCAGGAACATCCCTGATGCTGTTTAATTTGCTGCTATCTGCAGAGCTTTAAAGAGCCTGTACGTTTTTCACGCTTTGATCTGTGCTAATACCCTCACCAGGTCCTTACAGCAATAGCCCGCACATGCAGTGGTGGCATTTCTTGCCCTAATATCAAGCACTCTCGGATATATTGTCTAAAAGCTGACACTCCTGTCTACTGAGCAATTCTCCTAATGTCATCATCCCTGGCTCTTTCCTATCGCCCATGCACCAGGATTACTGTCTGCATAGCAGCGTAGGTATAGCCGAGCTTCTGAGTGCCCTCTGGTGCAAAGTCTGGCACCATCCTTCAACCGCTGTGAAAAGCGGCCGGAAAGGGGTAAATGTCCTAAACCTCCACAGCCGCTTGCTAAGAAAAGCTATGCTGAAGCTGTGCCTGAGCTTGCCAGGACCTGTGCTCAACAAGGTTTTTCTGTTTGGAGGCACTATGACTGCTTTTAGTTTCTGTAGCTAATCGATTTCCAGTTTTAAATGTCAGTGGAAAGCTACTGATTTGGGGGAAAACCAACTGAACCACAACAGAGAAAATACAGGCACATGAATTCCCTGCTATACAGTTAGCTGAACTACTGAGTCAAATCCCCTGCAATTGTTCGTTAACATTAAAGGGGTTGGAAGCATTTGCCAGCATCTTCCAGCGTGATAATGCCCAATTTCACCCCTGCAAAACCCATCCAAGAATTCTTGGCATGTCGATATGCTCCGAATGACTCAGCCTCCCATAGGAAAAGGAAGTAGATCAGGGAATTTTAGGAAGGAAGGGCGCTGAAACCATACACAGAGCTAAGAACAGTTAACTGCATAACTCCTATGGAAAAAGCCAGAAATATGAGGGCTTGGGCAGAGAAGGAAAGTAGGAATACACACAAATAGGAAAGCAAATACAAGTGCTGATATGCACGGAAGGGAAAATGGGAGAAAAGGATGTGGTGGGACTCTGAAATGAGGAGAAAAGAAAGTGGGGAGTATCAGAGAAAAGGGAAACTACATACATCCTGGTATGGAGCAGGCAGGAGCCTGATGGAATCTGGTACATGGAGCAGACACAAGGACAACCTGGAATAAGACGCAGAGCCAGCAGTGCCACAATGAGGGAACTGATGAGCTCAACTCATTCAGTTTCAAGAAACTAAATGTTGTAAAATGAATTTTAAAAGACATTCCAGGCTCGAACATTTGTTTTTTACAAATTACAAAATTAAGGGCTTGCACCTGTATCTAGAAGATCTATATTCTCACCTATCAGCGGCAAAACGCAAAATAAAGCTGCTACAGGATCGCACCAAAAGCAATCGTTCGGAATGACACTACCCTCTGGTGGTCAAAAAATACAGTTATATGTACAGCAGGAAGGTAAAACATTTGGAGCTGGTTGTACAGGTAACTATGGCTTGTTTGACCCCTTATTCATGTCGCTGGCACCAACTATACTTAAAAAAACCCACGCAATCAATTCCAATCCACACTTCAGTAATCCAACTTGAGTCCACACTGTTAAATGACATATCCACCTTATTGGTCCACGTTTTAAAATGACATGTTCATGACTGGTTGTAAGCACAAGTAACTGTCTGAGGCTCTGAAACAGACTGGCAGTAATTTCTATGTTCTCTAGCAACCTGCAAGAATAGGAACAACACACCTGGCTGTGCTTAGCTACGTAAGTAAAGGAAGTAACACGATACTAAACTCCCAAATTATTCCCAAATAAAACGTAGAGCTATTACCAGCAATTTTCTGCTTTACCTCTTTGGAAAATAAGCTCTTCAAAACTGACATTCACTTTTAGTGTGTGCAAGAGATCTCCTAGACCAACAGACTCCAGTCTCTAGATGTCACTTTAATACAAGTATTTAATTAAAACTACAATACCGCTTGCAAGAAAGAAAAATGGAAGATAATTTTTCCAAGTTAGTGCTAACCACATCCATAATTGTGTACATTGTCACCAATTAATTCAAAACAGAGTGCATAAAGCTGTGGTCGGGGCGGGGGGTGGTGGTGGTGGAAAGAGGAGCCTATATGCATATTAAAAGCCAGCTTTCTTATTCTGATCCTTGCTTCTAACAGGACATTCCTTAATTTCATCCAAAATCTTAAACACATAAAGGATATAACCGTTTTTTCTTTCCACATTACAGTTACAGAACATCATTGCTGAGAAAAGCAAATTGCTTCAGTTCAGGGTTTTCATGAAGGTGCTTCGGGACTTCTGTAATGACTTAACACAGTCATGTCTCCTGCCTTGCCTCACTCACATTTCTTGACATCTAATCTTGTACAAACAATAAAAGCCAAATATTAACCACTCTGCCATTTTCTCCTTTCCTCCTTTTACATAATCACTGTTCAACTGCTGTTTTTTTTCCCCTCCTGTTAAAAACAACCCTAATTCCCATAGCCAAATGATCCTCTTGGAAGCTGAGCCTTCCAAATACCCTTTTATCCCCAAACTTCTTAAGACCAGATGTCTTGACGGTCTAACATTTCTGGAAAAGAGGAAGAACTTGTCAGGTCACTCCCTCCTAGAGAAACGACTCTGTGTTTCGCAACTTTGATCGTTATGGTAGGCTGACCTTCGACTAAAAGTAAGGGTTTGGTTTTGTTGCCTGGAAGCAATATATTTGTGTATTGCCTCCTTGCAAGAAATACACCATGCAGACCTTCATCGGGCAAAAGTCATTCCTGCCGGGTCTGATAAACTGTCGTCTTTGATGCCACCTTGTGGCAAAAATACTGGATCCTAGAAATTCTCAGCATTTGTCCCTCCTTGCAGGTGCATTTAACTGCAGCAGTGGTAACCGCTGCCAGCAGCGTTTCAGTTTTCCAGTTCATAAAACCAGGATTTTGGCACTCCTAAAAATGCGGCACCAGTCACTGCCGGAGAGGACGAAAAGCAGGAAAAAGCACTGCAAAATGCATGTATTCTTTCCACAGGGTGAAAACTAAAACCGTACATCAAAGGACACATGGCACAACCATTCGTGTGCTCAAGAGCCCACACATTTATTTCTCTCTTCCCCCCTGCAAAACACTCGCAGCGAGAGGTACAACCTTTTCCAGACGCGTAACGGCAAAATAGTGCTGCAGGTAGAGACCGAAGGAAAACTCGTCCCCAGCCTAATGGGACAGGGCGCATTTACACCAACACCTCACACTGAACTCACCCTTCTCAGTTACTAGGCACAAAAAATTATCCTAAAGGAGGCCATGCCTATTTTTGGGAGCTGCTATGAAAGCCAGCATTACCACCTTCTGCAGCATGAGGACGATGCCTATTTTTAGCGTTCCTTCCACTGGAGAAGCCCAAGAATCACCACCTGCCTCCTCCTTGGACCCCTGTCAAACGCCTTTCTCCCAGCAAGCGAGTGGGAGGAAGAGATTGAATTAACCCACACACCTGCCTCTTGCAGCGAGGTT